GGCGCACGCCCACCCTCCCCCACACACACCTATCCCGGCCAGCGCGGCCCACGCCCCTCCCCACACACACACATCTCCACCCCCAGGAACACAACACACTCTCCTGCAGCTCTCCACACACCCCTCAGGCCTTCTCACGCCCGCACCCCACCCGTGCTACCCAGCAGCTCCTGAGTCGGGAGGCAAGCCCCCCGGGGGTGCAAGGTCGGGGTGGCAGAAGGGCATGCGACCAGCAGTGCCACGCAGCCTGCAGCACACAGCGAAAACACACAATGAGCTCCCAGGGCTGCCTCCCCCTTGCCATCAGCTGGGCCCGGGAGGCTGGCAGAGGGCATGGGGCAGAAGCCAGGTAGCAGGACGCAGCCTATGGTTCCTCTTGAGCTGGTCTGGCTTCATTTCTCATCCCCACTGAGCAGTTGCTCAGCCCGGCTCCATCTGGATCAGGCAGCGAGGCCCTGGGCCTTTTCCCCTGGCTGTGGCTGCCTGAAGGGGTGTCCACCCCGCCCCAGGCCCGAGGGCTCCGTTCGGCCCATCAGTGCCTGGGCTGACCCAGCGGAAAGCCGGCGGCACTCTGGCCTAGCCGGCTGCTGAAGCCCAGCGGGGAGAGGAGCTGAGCCGGGTTTATAAAGCCAGGACGCTGGCAGCAGAAGGCGGCTGCAGTCACTCCGTCGGAGCAGGGAGGTACATTGGGGCTAGCAGGGTGTCCACAGTTACCCCGAGAGGAGGGAGTTGGGAGGCTGGTGAACCCAGAGCAGGGGAAGCCAGGAAGGTAGGAGAAGGCTCAGGGGGAAAGCAGCACGGCAGAACAGTGCAGGCCGTGGCTGCTGATCGGAGGGACCTTGAGCTGGACCCCGGAGTAGAGGGTGGGCCTGGGTTCCCCTACCAGCCCCTGGGGATGTGGCACAGGCCAGGCAGAGGACAGTGGACTGCCTGGGGTGGTTACATCCCCCCTTCCCCTCCGGACGGGGACACCACGTAGCGACCTGGCTGGAGGGCTGGGTGATGAAGAGGAGGCTGCAGGGCGAGACCGCCAGAGGAGGGCGCAATGCCTGGGATGGCCAGGAGGAGGCGCCATGTCTGCACTAGGGCACCAGTGCTGTAGCTATGCCGCTGTAGGAGTGTAGACGCACACTACAGCGACTGTTGCTATAGTAACTCCACCTCCCCAAGCAATGGTGGTGTTCTTCCACCGACCTAGCCGTGTCTGTACTGGTGCTTAGGGCAGCACAACTGTGAATTTTTCACATCCCTGCGTGCCGGGGCTGCGTGAACCTAAGTTTTAAGTGCAGCCCAGACTTGAGCCTATCAGGCCCCTGGGGTCAAGCACGACCAGCTAAAGGAGTTAAAACCATCTACACTCGTTGCTAATCTATTTAGGCAAACAAACCTCAACAAGGGGAGGGAGATGGGAGCCAGAGACCGCTCTGCAGACACAGAGAGCAAGAAGGGCCTCCTGGATGGTGCTACAGCCAAATCAAGAGGAGTGCTCGGCACCTCACAGCATGGGAGGCCAGGAGAGAACTGGGAAACAAAAACAAGAATGGAAAATGGAGTCTGGGGACAAAGCTGGATCTAGCCCATTGTTGGCCCAAATGCCACTGCCTAACTGCACCTAGCAGGCCAAAATACCTGGACCCCCAACAGCACTGCAAAAACCTGGATCGAAAACCTCCGGACTGCTAGATCAAGCCAACTTTGGGACCCAGTCCCACTACCTAAACTCCATCAGAAAGACCCAACATATGGCATCTCCTGGGGCAGCAGTGAAACTATCATTGTAAAGATTTCAGAGTAGCAGCCGTGTTAGTCTGTATCCGCAAAAAAACCAGGAGTACTTGTGGCTTATGCTCAAATAAATTTGTTAGTCTCTAAGGTGCCACAAGAACTCCTGTTCTTTTATCACTGTAAAACTGCCAACGTCACACAGGACAGGCAGAAGGGTTCAGTAAATATTTCTGTTCAGTATTTGGGAAGAGGTTGGATGATTTACTCACCGTTCACAATGATAAGGAAATACTGCCTATTTTTACAGGAACTGGGGAGGATGTTAAACAGAAACTGCTGAAGCTAAACATCTTCAGATCTTCAGGCTCAGATATCTTGCGTCCAGGAGTTCTAAGGGAATTTGCTGAGGTGGTTTCTGAGCCATTAATGTTGATTTTTAACAAATCCTGGGACCCCGGAGAAGTCCAGAGGATTGGAAACATGTGAACATTGTGCCAGTATTTAAAAAGGGTGAAAGGGAAGGCCCCGGGCTGGACAGCCTGACACGGATACCAGACAAAATCATGGAAAGGGCAGTATGGAAAGAAATCAGATAAGAATTAAAGGACTGGGGCATGATTAATGCCAATCAACAGTGTTATGTAGAAAACAGGTCTTGTCAGACAAGCCTGATACTATTTTTGATGAGATCATGAGTTTCGTTGAGAAAGTTAACTGTGTTGATATCATGCTTAGACCTCTGCAAGGAACTTGTTACCGTATGACATTCTGATTAAAAAATTACTACTATATAAAATCAACATAGCTGATAAAAAATTGAGTAAAAACCGGTTACATGATAGATCACAAAAAGTAACCGTAAACAGTGAATCATCATCCAATG